GCCTTAGGTGCAAAGAGCCCATTAAACAAAAGCTAAGCTAACACTAGCCCGTGTGCTCTGTTTTATCTTCCGCGTGTTTCACTGTGGCTGTACTGAAGAAACTGTGAACGATTCATAAGTTCCGCTTTCAGTCACTGCTTTTAGTTGACATACGTTGCAGGAACATGTTTCTGTCACAAGATGGCAGCACTGTGACGTAATCATGAAAAGCTGTGATTTAACCCTTGTGTGTAGAAATGGGGTCCAACCGACGCCACACACGTAAAACTTGTATCTTTTGCCATAGTCCTCTACGTTTGCCTCGGGCCTTGCACGCACAAGGGTTGAATTAATTATTTTATAATTATTTTTCAACGATGACTATAAAACCTGTCTTACATAGATTGATGAATGGAATTGATTTTTTTCCACTTAATTTTAAATAAAGCTTGTCTTTAATCAATTCGGAAGTAAACTTTCACTAACATTTTATGTTAACATTAAAATATTTAAATCCAGCAATAAATTGAAACGCAACAAAATATAAAAACACAGTAAAATGTATATATTGTTTTAATTCTCAGTCTTAAAAACATTTTTCTTATTCCACTAAAACAGTTTGCTAATCTGTTTCCATTATTTGGAGACTGTAATGTTATTGTTATGGTGACGTTTGTCCACCAGAGGGCGAAGTAACGCCAGTAAGCCATATAATGCTGGATCAATGGAGCTCAGCGGTTTTGAGGACAAAGTCCATCAGTTTCTGTGTCGATGTGAATATCAACAAGTGTCTTTATCTGATGGAGGAATAAATTATACACTTATTAGATGGAAATGGTGAATTGCTATTAATCTTTGCAGGCGTCTCAGCAGCTGTCACCTCTTCATGACCTCTGCTTGGCCCTCGACTCATGAAGTTTGGGAATGCACCTTTAATTTCAGATCTGCTGTTCACCTGATGTTACCTGTAGCTGCAAACTGAACCAGAGGTCAGAGTGATGATGACTTTCCACCAATTCCTGCAGGCTCCAGTGGACCAAAGTGTTGAACCTGGAGATCATTTTGTCAGGAAGCTGCAGTTTGTTTGACACCAAACCAGAGCTGAGATCAACAAAGTGTCTCCCAACTAGATCCATTGCTACTCACTGTTTGAAAAGCTATCTCACCAAATATTGTTACACAGGGCAGAACTTCACGTGGGTCAGCCGTTACCATGGTAACTTCACAGATTTTTTAAAATACTTCATTTTGGAGGGGGAGGAATTGTTTCTTTTCATTATAAAGTCACATTAAAAATATTCATATATAAATATATACACAATAATATGTTTAATCAAGAAAAAACTAAATAGACAAAAAGAATTGTGAACCAATTTGACTAACAAAACCAGTCTGAAATCTGCTACTGAATTAAAATAAAAATACCTAAATTAAACTATTGTTTCCAGAATGTATTTTTTTTTGCCCTGCCTGATCGGTTCATTCATTCCAACTGTGCTCATCCAAAATGAGACAAGTGAGGCCGTTCTTTTAGTTACTTATCTATATGAAATTTAATCCACATTATTAAAACATTGTCTAATATCTAAAAAATTAAAAAACTTCTCAAACAAAAACTAACAGAAAAAGACACATAGGTTAAGAAAAAAAAACTTTACAATGTAGAGTAACTTTTAGATGGACAAAGATAATGCACTTTTACACAAATAGACATGTCTGCATCGTTGCCATCAAATCAACAGAAATATTTTTTTGTCCCGACTCGAACAGAAAATAAAAAAAAACATGACATACAGAATCAAATTTAGAAAAACGTATTTCATTTGTAACCTACCAGCACACACATTACATTCAGTAACAGCTAACATGTATCCACTAACCAAAATCATTGAAGTAAAACTATAAGTACAACAAACATACAATGCATTCAAATTTACTTTTCAATTAAGAAACAATTAATATGGAGACACTCACTTAAAAAGAAACATTTAAATGGAAAGGTAAAACTACAAGAACAAGATGATTTATTTGAAATGCTTTTTTAACAAAACTGCTACATTTTCAAAAAGTCATCCAGCTGTAAATACTCCACTTCCAAACAGCATGTTACTGAGAAAACTCATACTTAAGGCTTAAATTATGCCATCATGTGTGCTCTCACAGTGAAATTACTTCTCCGAGTGAAACTTTTTCCACATGTCACACAAAAAGAGACCGTCTCACCTGTGAGTTCTCAGGTGACGGAGTAATTTAGATTTAAACAGGAAAGTTTTTCTACAAATCACACAAGAAAAAGGTTTCTCACCTGTGTGAGTCTGAAAGTGTGCAGAAAGATTAGATTTATGAGAGAAACTTTTTCCACAGGTCACACATGAATAAGGCTTCTCGCCCCTGTGAATCATCATGTGAAGATTTAAATAATTTTTGCAACCAAAATGTTTTCCACAGGTCACACATGTATATGGCTTCTCACCCGTATGAGACCTCATGTGAATAGCTAAACTGTATTTAATCGTAAACTGTTTTTCACAAATTGTACACAAAAAAGGCTTCATACCTGAGTGACTTCTCATGTGACGAGTTAAAGTACTTTTTGAACTGAATTTTTTTCTACAAGTTGTACAAGAAAAAGGGTTCTCATCCGTGTGAGACCTCATGTGATTCTTTAAAGTGTCCTTTGAATAGTAAAGTTTTCCACAGATTGAACATGTCAACGGTTTTTCACCTGTGTGAACTCTCATGTGGTAAATTAGACCTTTCTTGTAAATGTAACTTTTTCCACAGGCTCGACATGAGAAAGGTTTCTCGCCAGTGTGAACTCTCATGTGTCGAGTCAAAGAATATTTTCGAGAATAGCTTTTATTGCAAATTTTACAAGAATATAATTTTTGGTCTGGTTGAGCTTTCTTGTGCCTTTTATGTTTTGAACTGCAAGTTTTGTTTTTCTGCTGTTTGGTTTTCTGACATCTTTCTTTTTGTTTCTGTTCTTCGTCTCTCTTTTTCCCTGGATCTTCAGAATTGCTTCCTTCCTGATCCTGGTTCTCATCTTCAACAGAACCATGAGAGATGAGTTGGTTCCTCTCTTGTTTTGTTTTATTGTGAATTCTTTTCACTTTAAAAGGAATCACCAACATGTCATCAGTCTCCAGTTTCAGCACAAAATTCTTTTCATCATGACTGATGTAGAGTTGCTTCTCTTCCTCTTTGAACTGTTGATGATCTGGTTCCTCTGGTTCCTGTTTTATCTGCAGATGTTCTGGTTCCTCTGTTTCTTGTTTTATCTGCAGAGGTTCTGGTCCCTTTTGGTCGAAAGTGGAGTTTTCCTCCTGGTTCTGGCTCTCAGTGAGAACCTCCTCCTCTTTACACAGATCTGAATAAGAAGAAAACACTAAAGCTTTTAAACGTCAATCAAAGATCAAAACCTTCATCTGAAAATGGTTTTCTTGGATTATTTCAGAACTAAAAACCTATAAGTATTAAAAATTAACTCAGCTAGATGAATCAAAATGTGATATTAGAAACTTCCGGGTGAGAAAACAATAGGATGATAGCTGAACTCAGTGTCTCACCACCCGGTTCGGATATTATCATTCCATAGAATGGCGATTATCAGTGGTTATCAGCCCCATTGAATGGCCTCAGCTGGTCCCTGCTCTGCCTGATATCAGGCTCAGTAGGTTGTTATCAACCATTCGTATCAGTGATCACAGCCGCTTGTCGCTAATAGAACCTTTTCTTCTTTTTTCTTTTTTTTTTTTACATTTTTTAAAAAAACCTTTATTTACAATTTATCTGCTAATTTGAACAGGATATTAAGAATTTACTAAAAATACAAAAGCCAAACGTATCCGTCATAAGATTTTAATTTGGTATAGTTCAAGCTATATATAATCAAGGGCAGGGGAGCCCAAGTCCAGTCCTCGAGAGCTACCATCCTGCAAGTTTTAGGAGTATCCTTACTCCAACAGACCGGGATCAGCTCTACAGAGGCCTGATAACGAGCCATTCATTTGATTCAGGTGTGTTGAAGCAGGGATGCATCTCGAGGACTGGACTTGGGCACCCCTCATCAAGGGCATTTTAGTTTTACTCATTAAAGCTTTGTACTCTTTTTCACATTCATTAATGTTCTTGTTCAGTATGACATTGTTCATGACTAAACTTCATTTACAGTTTGAATTTAACTCTTAATTTTGAGATGCTGCATAATGTGCTTTACATAATATCTTTAAAGTTGGGCGCAACAACGAAATAACTAAAACGTAGTGGACAAAAATGTTGTGATGTTCGTCTTTGAAAAATATTAGACTGTATGTTATCAAAGAATTACATAATTTTGAAGGACACTACTCTGTATTAAAAAGTCATTAAGAGCTACGTCAGTGTTTGTGATATTTCATACAGATTTCAAAACTTACAATATGGACTATTTGTAGCCTGTGTGGGGACTTGCAAACTGGTTGATTTGATTTACCTTCCTGGTTTTAGTAAGAGTGCCAGCAGCAGCATAATGTATCATCTGCAGTTGGATGATTGACTGCTTCTTTAGGAGACCCCTCACACCAGCATCCAGGTTCAGCCTTACAGCCCAGTGTTTGATGTCCTTCCACTGCTCCACCACTCAGATGGCTGCACAGACTAGTGACACTTATCTTACTGTTAGAATTGCATTTAGTTGTGCAACTGTAAGGACATGTTCATTCCTGGTTGTTTACAAGGTTATAGAGCAGTTAATATTAGTGTTGATGTTTGCATTTTTCAGGAGGGCAACGCGAAGATTGACGTCCTTCACACCAGATATTATATTAAAATTTAAGCACACCGCGGGATGGATCAGCCAGGAATATAAGGACAGAGTCTGAATAACACCAACTGTATGTCAGAAAATCCTGACATGTAGTCTTATGAGATTAGTCTCTGCTTACATAAAAATTATATGGCCACACCCATGTAGGGCCACTATGGAAAATGGTGACAAACCATTTTGGGACCTATTTTGTCTGCCCTCTTTTTTCCCATATGGGGCCCACCTAGTCATGCTGGCTGGGGCATTATGACATGTTTGTAACCTACCTGAGAAAGCGGCAACATATAAATTTTATATAAGGATTCCTGTAATTGATCCGTGTGGAATTACGTATTTGACATCTGTCATCATAGAAGACACCGATTACAAAAATAAAACCATCTTCATAAAAAATAATATCTATTTGAATGCTGCATAAGACTTTTTTTTAACCCAACTATCCAGTCGTTTCTGTAATATGTTCTGTTCAACACTGTCAAAAGCTACATTTAGGTCGTACTGACCAAAAACCAATTTTTTTCCATTACAATATTTATTATTTATAGACAGTCTAGTAGCCAGCATACCTAGGTGGGCCACATATGGGAACAAAAAGAGGGCAGACAATATGTTGGGCCACCTACATGTTGGGTGGAAAAACCCCTGTGGGACCAATATTGTCTGGCTTTTTCCCCATATGGGGCCCACCTATGCTGGCTGGGACCTTACCTTTAAATACGTCCAATACTCCTTCTCACCTTAAACTGTCCATCAAACCCTCTATTCATAACATAATTTCAACATTATTTCTAAGTCTCCTTCCAACCTTCTTTCCTAACCTAATTCCAACATTTTTTCCAAAACTATTTTTTTAGTAAGTTCTCACAAAGGTCATTTATTTTTACATGTATTTTTATGTCATAATAGACAAAATATCTGTGTTTTTTCATTTAAGACCACATACTATCTGTAATAGTGCAGCAAAACTAAATATGAGAAAAAAGTGAAGCGCTGTTAATAGTTTAATACACTGCACACTAAAATTCCACTCTCAATGACCATTTACATTTCTTGATAACAGCCTCACACTTAAAAATCACACGTTCAATGTTTGCAATGGCATCAGTGACACACGGGGTGATGTCATGATTGAACTCACCAGTCTCAATGGGTAAAACATTCGGTTAAAGTAAATCATATTTTTCAGTCATAAATTGAAATTATTAGACAGAATAAAATTCTTATGTTAAATCGTATTAATACTTTTCATTAAGTGGCAAAAAGTGTGTAACTGGTCACGTGGCTTGTCACCCATTGATAACCAATAGTAACATGTGACGTTGTGGAACCACTGCATCCCACACTGGGATCTTCTCCAGCTGTGTCCCATCAACATGCTTGTCCTAACAGTTTCGCGAAGGGAGAAAGTTCCTCTACCTGAACGTGTCGTTTTCTAACCTGGCCAATTTGTTTATTTAAAAGGAAAGATCTTACTCATTCTTTTGCTATTATCTGTGCTACCATGTTGAAATTGTGCAAAAGTCATGAGTTCAGCTAACATGCTCACTGATGTGTTGGTTTCATACAAAAGCTTTTATTGATGCATTGTACATTTATCAATTGTTTAAGACAAACTACAGGAAATGCTAACATCGACAGCTTTCTGATAAACAGATGTCAAATACTGTGACCAAATTAGAAGTGTCTTTTTTGCAGTCCCAGAGATACATAATACATTTTTGAAAAAACATGTTTAATGACAGATAGCACAGCACAAACATCTCCAATAAAAGCTTCTTTTACATTTTAGCTGCAAACAGAAGTGAATGATTTCACAGACCTGAAGATGTTGCACAATGGAGATCCATGAAGCCAGAAACTACTTATATCATATGTAGGACAGTATCTTCGAACATACAGATTTGAACACTTTGGACAGTGAGACACCCTCTCATTATTCCAGCAAAGAACCAGGTCGTTACTATAAGACAATTTTTTCAACATTAAACATGTTAATGTTTCACCTTCGCTCTGAAAGACATAACAAGGCTCAACTTCTGGGAGTCTGACAATGACGACAAGTTTTTCTTGAAGCCACATGCCAGGTGTGACCACTGCTCACGTGTTGCAACGTTGCCACTCACGCCACTTCTTGGCATTTTTTTTCTCAACACTGAAAAGTCAGGGGCAGATGTTGCAAACATCCGTAGTATCTAAATAAAGAAAAATAAGTCATTTATTGACAAATGTTGTTTAATCAACATAAAAGAAGCATAATGCATTAATTTATTTAAATGCATACTATCTGAAGTCGGTTCTCTTGACAGCACTTCCGTCAAACCCAAAGGCTCTGTTATGCTCTGCTCATCTAAAGAAGAATTAACAGTTTAGTTGCAATGTGATCAAGGTAGGTCATACCTTCAAGTAACATTTAACATACCATGTTTCCTCAAAAGTAAGACAGTGTCTTACTTTCTTTTTATCCCCAAAAGCCCCACTATGTCTTACTTTCGGGGTATGTCTTATATTGGAAAAAAAATGTCGAATTTTTTGTTTTAACCATAAAATTAACATTTATTAACAACCTGAACAGTATTGTATTCACCACAAAACAGTTTTATAAAAGGAAGTGCCAAGAATGTCTTGTTACAACATTGCATAACATGTAAAACAATGAAAAATGGTAAGAACGAACAGTGGAATACTGGAAGATAAAACAGATTTATTGCATGACAACCATGTCATCATCCTCAGGAATATCGTCATAAACATCCACAGTCTTAGGTTCCTGTGGATTTTCTTGGGACTCTCGGGATGACATTTCTTGCCGAATCATTGGCCCATATTTCTCATGGGTAGCAACGGCACTGTCCTGAAATGAGCAGGCTTTGTCCAGGTAGCCAGCTCGCAGTGCATTTGCAACGCAGGTGTTAGTGATCTTATTCCAAGAATTCTTCACCCAGTTAACAATCTCTGGCAGTCTGGGCTTCACAAAGTTCCCACGTACATTTCTCTCCATTCGGTTTTCAATGTAGTCATTGATTTCCACACGCAGATAGTCCTTGAACGGCTTGTTAATGGCGATATCGAGAGTCTTAAGATAAGCCGTCATCCCTGCAGGAATCATGATTTGGTCGATTCTCCGCTCATGAAGGAAGTTTTTCATGGTTTTGGCGCGGTGTGTGCTGGCTGCATCCCAGATCAGCATCCCTCTTTTGTTCCCGCGCATTACAAGCGGCAGCATTAAATCAAGCCACTTTCTTATAACATCTTGTGTGGCCCAGGCTTTTTCAGTTTCCAGCACATAAATGCCAGAAACCCGCTCAATCTTCTCCTTCTTGCCCTTTGCAATGAGTAGCGGTGTTGCTTAAGTGCCATCCAGACGAATCGTCAAAATGCAGGTGACACGTGCACTTTCATAAGCGGTGGAGGGAACGTACACTGAGGAGGCACCACGTTGATCAATGGTGGTTTGAGCTGCTTGGCCCATGAACATGGCAGTTTCATCCATGGCGATCATGTTGCAAAGACTGTATTTAGAGAAGTCAATGTCATCCACAAACTTCTTGTAGGCTAAAATCAAAATCAAATCAAATTTTATTTGTATAGCACATTTCAGCATCAAGGCGTTTCAAAGTGTTTTACATAATTAAAATAAAAACAGCATGTGACGCAAACAGTGAGAAAGAGAAATAAAAAGAAAGTAATAAAAAGATAAAAAAAAGATAAAAACATAAAAAAAACAAATACATTGAAGACATCAAAACCCCACACTCTAATCCTAATTTAACCATAAGCTAAACTCTTAAGCTAATGTACGTTTAACAATCTCAGCATCTTCCAACCTAAAGAGGGTTGTGGATCTTCTCAAAGACAGGTCATTGCGTTCAAGAAAGTTATCCACCCAGTGCTGTGATGCCTTGAATTGTTCAGGGGAAATGTCAAACTGTGGCAACACTGCAAGGGCATATTCCTGAATCTCAGCCCTGGTCACCACCAATGTCTTTGCTCTCCTGTCTGCAACCCACTCAGAGACCAGGCTTTCCAGCTCTGTATACATTGGTTGCCGACCACATCCAATCTTGCGCTTTTTAGCCATTCCGCTCTCCACTTTTTCACTCAGGTTAGTGTATTCTGCACGCCATTTTTGGACCAGTCGGTGATCCAACATTTTCTCCTTGCAGAACTGCACTACATTTTTGCCCCAAGATTCTTCGACAATCGCTTTTTTATACTCCACGGTGTAACTCTTCCTTTTACCACTGGAACCGGAAGCGCTGATGTCTAGGGGCAAAAATATAGCATACGGTATAAGCACTGCTTGTGGTTCCGTATCACAGTCTCCCATGGGGTTACAGCCCCATACAGTATCCCACACAGCGTGTTTTTGTATGTATCTAACCCAGTGTGATACAGTACCACCTGCTGTATTTAATCCAGTGTGACACCTGCTGATACCCACTGGGTTACATACAGCAGATGATACCCCAGTATGCCAGTGTGTATGTTTTACTGATGTATGATTAATACTGTGTGCATTACCGTATTTTAAGCAGGAGGCGGCAGTGACAAGTGCAGGGGACGGCGCGGTGACGTATGGAGGGGGGGACGGCGCGGTGACGTATGGAGAGGGGGGCGGCGCGGACGTGGGCAGGAGGCGGCGCTCATTAAGATCAGAGGGAGGTGGCAGACGCGGCAACGTATGGAGAGGGTACGGCGCGGTGACGTATGGAGAGGGGGGGACGGCGCGGCAACGTATGGAGAGGGGGACGGTGCGGACGTGGGCAGGAGGCGGCGCGCAGCTAGATGAGAGGTGTTTCCACGAAAAGTAAGACATATGTCTTACTTTCGGGGTACGGCTTATATTAGCCGACCCCCCTGAAACCCCCGATACGTCTTACTATCGGGGAAACACGGTATTATACTTCATACGGGAATATGTGGAACTCGAGCGTTACTATCAGTTCTGTGTAAACAGCATATTTAAACATATTGAAACAGTTTTTTATTACTACTTTTTATTTTTATTCATGAAGGATGGGCATCCTGCATGTTTTAGTTCTCTCACCGGTGGAAGTTACAAACTTTTCACCATGTCAATCTATTCATAGGCCTAGCATTAAACCAGGAACAGAACTAAGAAATGCAAGGTGCTGGCCATTGAGGAACAATTTTGGGCACCCCTCCTTTAAGCTATTGGTTAGTGTGATTTGTATGTAATTATTTCTGCAATTACGTCCTTTTTTATGTTGAAAACAAATAATTGCCTGCTCATTCATTAGTTCCTTAATTAGAGATGTCTTCTACTTCCTTAAAGTTAAACAAGTGATGCAAGATAAGCATCTATGCTTTAGTTCTGTACTATTGTGTTTTGTGGTACATCTAATTTAATAATTTCTTTAATGTTTGCTGGAAATGTGGTTGATGTACATAGGGAGTGAGAGTTTTCTGTGTTTAGTTGTGTGACTGATGGTCTCCACCTCACGTGGTTTGAATAAGCAATAAAACATAACCAAACATAGTGCTGCAAAGTATTCGGAAATATGTCAGCTGTGACACCGGCTGCAACTATTACTTTAACAGTTCACAATAAAATATTTGTGTAGTCCGCATTTGTGAAAGTGACATCAGCTGTTGTGAGACTTGCCAACTTGCTAATTGTCACAACTATATTTCTTCAACAGTCTTAGCATGACAAACTCATCACACGCAATATATTACACATTAATTTTGTACAACCACAATATCAATGGCGATATGAATCTTGCAGACATTGACATGACAGTACAGCTATAATCCGACTGTACATGATAGCCATATAGAACATTTTGAAAGGTGTTAAATCCTCACTAATGAGATCACCCAATACCCGGACCCCAAAGCGTATGTGATTTATCCAAGTATGGAATATTTATAATTTCTTAAACATATCTGGTTGTACGTCGGAGTGACCTAAAGACAAAGCTGGACTCCCCAGACTTTCTGTATCTGAAAACCTATAAATCATCCAGAATACATGTTTTCCTAAGGAAGACCAGACATATTGTGTTACCGAGGGTGTAGTGCGCTTTGTAATATACCCACCTAACATACATAATAACACTGTAATGGAGGACATTCAGGATAGACTTGCATACATTCATGCAACGAACTTACCATTTCCACACATTACATTGAAAATGTCTTCCACAGTTGGTGTCCCAATTTTCCTCCCGGAGTCTGATACAAAGAATAAAATATAATTATTGAAATTATTTATCCAACATATCTTCAATATGATTACAATACAATGCAATATCAAAACTTGAAGTACAAGTATCCAGGACATGGCTTAAACTGTCTTTCTCAAGTACACATTGTGAAGTGTGAACGATGAAAGGTTTTCTTAAGGCTAATATTAATCTACACAACATTGTACTTTATTAATTTTAATGAACGACAGGACAATTTCCCATCCTCCAGGGTATATTTGTTTCATTTCTCTTTGTAAGTTGGCAGCTTCTTCTGCAGAGTTTTTAGAGTAACTATTCCATCACAGACCATAATTACAATAAACTAAGCAGGTATCTGTTGGATACACTGAACTGAATTGTCACAGGGAAAGAGAAATATTTCCATTACAAATCTGATATAAAAACCATACATACAATTTCAAAAGGACTTGTATGATTAAAACAAAAGAAACCCCCAATTACATGGAAAGGGATACTGAATGACGTGCTTACAATAAGAGTATGTGAAAGTCATAGGTCTAATCTTCTACTTAACACCACTAGAATGTATTAAGAAATACAAACTACCTTTACTATGAGAAAAAAAAACACTGTGTGTATAAAGTTCAATCTGAACACACATCATCTGCAGTTATCACCACTCCAGTGTCAGATGTCACAACTGATTCTTTTTATCTGAAGAGAAAATTGAAATTAGTAGTGTGAATGCTGCAGGCATTTTGTTTGGTTAAAAATAATTATAGCACTGTCGATAAATCAATTATAACGCATGTTCTTAGTTGTCAGAGGAACACAGTAACTCCTTCGTCAGCTCAGAGGTTCGAAAGGGAAAATAAAAAACGAGGATGGATGATCTCTGCTAAAGTTTTACTTCTTTTACTTTTTTTGTCCTTTTATTTCTAAAAGGACAAAATGTGTGTCTGTAATAAGATATTACAGACACACCATTATAGTAGTACGGAAGTATAGTTATTTAGAGTATGACAAAATGTTAGGGTGATTATGACAGTAGTGCTAAACAATAAACATAACTGAATAGCACAATTCATGGGGCGCAGCAGTTTGAGCGAGCGGATAAAGACAGACACATTCGGCCTTCCAGACTTTGACTCTGATCCCTGGATCCTTTTCCCAAAATATATGCTACTTTTGGATTCTGCTCTTTAAATACTTCAAATTGAAGGCTAGCAGTGCCAAAGGAATGATTAAATACAAGAACATTAAATCATGAAAATGATCTCTCAACAACAGTCCACCCCATTGCATGATTACAAAGTCCGTTTTTACCGGATGACTTCCATTTAAATATAATCTATTTAAACACTTACTAATTTGAAAGGAAATTTGCTCCGCATTCTTTAAAATGACTTCCAATTGTTTCCGTCCGTAGTGGCATGGTTTTTTCAGTGTGATGCCATCGGGTAGTCCAGAAGCGTTGATAATTATGCTTTCATTTTGAATAGAAATGTACGGGAGCTTTCCTCTGCCTCCCGCTTCATCTAAAAAGATAAGTAAAACATTTTAAAAGTTGTACATATTTGCAGTCAAGCTGAAGATTAAAAAGTGGATTAGTAATACAGAGCTCCAAACTGACTATGACTCAGGGTCTTGTGTATAAAACATTGTGCATTTTTCAGGATAAAACTTGGTGTACAAACAAATTTAGAAAAGTGCAACGCACCAAAAAATTCTAATTTATACAGCCTGTGCACCTTGCCTTTATAAATCCCAATTACTGGGAAACATAATGCAGCTGCTGATCCGTTCTGTCGCCGAGTGTGAAGCTTACAAAAACTGTCACACACAGCTCATTTTTATACTTGTGCATAAAATATGGCATATAACTTCTTGGTGCGTACGCACAATCATCCATGTGGCCCGTGGTTAAATGACAAGGTGATACAGACCATTATGTCGAAATATACGCAGACACCAACTTTATTACTGCAATGAAGTTAAATTAGGAATACATTACACTGACCATGACTAGTAAATTACTAGAGTATAATAATGTATTCTTACTGTATTTTCTGTTGAATAACTCCTGCACTTTCTTCACCATGGTATCTACAGGTTGTTTTACAGCAGAAGTAGATGATGAGTTTCCTTAGAAGAGAGAAAAGATCATGTAAATATTAAGTCCACTGTGCTGTTATTGAAGTTTGAGGTGTCGCTGTCAGTTTGTGAAAACCTTTAAAATGCAGAGCAAAGTTGTCCAGTACGTCGGTACGGTCGAAAAACGAAGAGGCACCTTTGCTGCTCACTTCAAGGACATCTAAGAAAGGCTTTTGATGGTCAAACATCATCACACCAGTCTCCACACCAAGCTTCTCAAGACTGGCAACCTTCAACAAAGTTTCAAAGAAGAGTCATTCAAAACTGCACAAATACAAAACATTACAAGAGACAGGAATAAAGTTATTGAGCTAGAAAAGTTTCATTATTTTAAGTCAGTAAGAAATAAAACATAGAAATATGGAATGTAATAGGAACATTTCATATTTCTATTACACACGATAACAAAAGGTAGATGACATTAATACATTCAAGGTAGTCTTTGAATTTTTATTTTCAATTAGAACACTATGCTTTGCCTAAAAATATGTGACCCTTACAAATTTATTCTATGACTTTTTCTCCCAATTAAATGTTTCATATCAAAAAGAAAAAATAATTAAAGTAAGTATACCCAGAAAGAATTACCAAAATTAAAATGTTATTAATTCAGGGAAAGTAGCTATCCAAAAGAAACAGGATCTTATGAAAATGGTCATTTCACCCTTGGTGTAATGACTTCAGTTGTTTCACCTTTAGCAGCAACAACACTGAGAGCTTCTGATGAATGAATATCTGACATCACCGCTGTGGAACATCTGCTCACTCTGACCCACAATGAAGAACATTTATGATGTTTAAAGCAATACTATAAAACATGGACACAATTGTTGAAACTTTGAGTAAGACAATCATTTTTTTTTATATCTGCATATGGCCTTGGTGCTGTGCAGTGGATCATTGTTCCACAGCATATTTATACTGTGACGGGGCTTAACATTAGGAAAACAGATAAAAAAGGTCCTGAGACGGCAAAATAATACCAGATCTTAGCAATACTGTCTCCATTTTTAACAGTGAAAATTATTGTGTCACCAGATTTTTTTTTTTATCAAATTAAATCTTTATATGAAAATGTATTTTCTTTTTATTACCATTACCTTTATATGATTAAACACTTTTTATGATGTGAAAGAGTTAAGTGGGGTAAAACTGCAAGCACAGACTAAATATGTCAAGCATCTTATCACAGATAAATAATAAATGCATGTGGAGCAGTGTATAGTGCTTCACTCAGTCTAGAGGACCTGAAAGGACTTTACACTACATTAAGTCATTTACACACTGATGGTGGTGGGCAGTAGCTCACCACCCAACAAGGTTATAGCCACAGCTGGTTTCAGGCAGTCTGACAGAAGTGACTGGCACCACTAGCAGCCAAAGCATGTCGACTAAGACAGACGTAGTAGGCATTCAAACTGGAAACCCAGTGATTACAGGGTTAACTCCTAACACTATTTCCAATATACAGTTAAATGGCTTGGAAACATTCTAAAGGTCTTAGCATATGTGGAAAACCTCTGTTTTGATCTGCTTGAGGTGCTTTTTCACTTTCAGGCTTCGCGTCTCTGGGCTCATGTCGTCTGAAGTGCGATGAACTTTCAGAGCTGCTGCCTCCTCCGCATATTTTCTCTTCTCCACTTCCCCTAGAGTGGACCATTTCTGTGTAATATCTTTCAGGCTTCCTAGCAGGAAAAACAAAACAAAGAAAATCAGCAAGCGATCCATTAAGATTGTACAGATCTCTGATGGCTCACCCCGACTCAATGGGTGTAGATTTTGATAAAGTTAAGGAAACTCTCTAACATTACATGGCAAATAGGAAAAGTTTCATCAAGTACTCAAGATCTCACAAATGTTATTTGACAACATAAACTAGCCAATACAAGTCAGATTTGTTTTGTAAGGATGGCTTATAAAAATAACAGCCAAAGGCTCCTGTGAGCAGAGCAGAGCCAATTACAGGGATGCCCAAAGTGGGTCCTCGAGGACCGCTTGTTTTACTTCTCTGCCTGGTGGTTGTAACCTCCTCAACATGTCGATTTTCTTCTTTGGCCTTCTAATGAGCCATGACTGAATCCAGGTGTGTTAACCCAAAGGGAGAACTACAACATGAAGGTTCCAGCCCTTGAGAATCAACTTTGGAAACCACTGTTCTAGAAAGTAAATCGAACAGAACAATGCAGGTATTACACAACAACAAAATAACTAAGGCAAGATTCTTTTTCCAAAAATTAAGTTTATGAATAGCCTGGTAAAAAAATGACCCATTGTACTACACATTGAAGCATCCAGAGGGTCTGGGCTACGGCTATTGAGACACTATTGCTCACTGGAAACATGGAGTCTGTAGAGGTGTTAAATTTTACCCAATCGCTAATGTTTGTCTGCGACGTATGTCGTGCCAGTTCAATGCCGAAAACTCTACTTGAAATTGGATTCGCTGCAAAAAAAAAAAAAAAATCTGTCACTGCAAAGACAGAAGACCTGAGCTCATTGAGGCAGCTGTCCATGTTAACTCCATATTTGGAAGGCCAACAGAGACTGAATGGCTTCCTTTACTTACTTTGCTGCCACTGATACAACTACAGGCGGAATGCAATTCTAAAACAGCACAGAAAATTGGCAGTCTTAACAACTTCTCCTTCTGTTTACTGATTGGCACAATAAAAAGTCTGGGGGAGATAATCCAAGTCAAGGGGAGAAAGCAAAGGCTGTGCTGTAAGTGAGAATTGCAACGATCAGGCTAGCTATACACACAACAATGCTTGTCAACATAACAGCTACAGTAAATCCTCTCTCACCCTTGCTCTTTAACAGATCCCTGCAGAACAGGTTGTAACCAGACAGGTCCTTGGTGTATAACTTCTTGTTTTTAGGTTGAGAAGAAGATGTTTTTTTTCTTCTATAGTTTCCAATCCAGTTCTAAAAGACATAAAAGTCTTGTTACAAAACAGGAAGATTGATTTGATTTTTATATAAAATTGCATCTTGCCATCTGAGTTCTGAAATGGAACTGCTAGAAATAACATTGATAAACATACATCAATGACAAACGGTGGCAAGCCAGTGGCCTGGGATGCCGCTCCAACCAGTGGAGATCCCACCCTTGTCATCCCTTCTTCATAGGCTTTCTGGAGGAAGACCTTCGCTTCCTCCGAGATGTGTGTTCTCTCTTATCATGAAACGATAAAAAGCAGAGCATATGCAAAAATAATATTCAGGACAAACGCATATTTTCTTGCTGTATAGCTCGTTGTTTAAGAGATGCTACACATACCTCTTCTTGACGTTGAACCTAAAACAAAGACAGAAAATACAACCATGACTATGAATAAACAGAAGGTAACTGTTTTTTCTGGTATGTGATAAATAAATATTAGCATGCATTGTGCTTGCAGGGTATCCCCCAGAAAACATGGTAAGCCCGGTGGTTGAGTTTTACGACAGTCAGTCATCCTGTAGCCGGTCATGTTTTTGAGATAAAAAATGTTAAAAGTTGACGGGAAATTTGAAATTACATTTTGATAATTATGTGTTATTGAAGGATTGGAAGATTGATACTTGAACAATAACTATAAAGTCATAAAAAATGCAAACGTTTTCCAAAGACTTAAATAAATAAACAATGCTTAGCCTGGTGGGGCAACAAATAAAGAATGATGGCCTCAGGGCTTATAATACACTGTGGGAAACCCTGAAATGTAATGAACTGTATGATAGAATCCTAACATTAAATCAATATACTGATATAAACTAGTATACTGAAAAGTATACGGTTTTTTTAAGATATATGAAACACAATTTTAGCACATTGTTATTAAAGGTATGAAGGACAGCTACATTTGAACTTGACTGGCTTTTAAGAGGCTACTTTAACGAGCTTCCCGCGTATTTTTTCTACCAAATAGGGTTAAAAACGTGTCTAAATCTGTACAAACACATGCTGTGGCACAGACTCGCTAACATTAACTCATACAACTACCATCAGCAGATTTATAAACGTAGACTTTCGGTCTTTTGGGGTTTTTACTCCATTTTTATTTGACAGATTCAGGGGCTACTCACCAGCTCCAACTGTGAAAAGTGTCGCATCCGATGACGTAAGCTTCTTCTTCTTCTCTAATGTTTTGTCGGGTGCAATCCGTAATTTATTATTATTACTACCAATACAAATATTAAACATTTTCAAATGGTACAAACACATATTTTCATATAATCATGAGCAAATCCGTCCGTATTTTTATTTTTACATTTTTTATTAAACATAGGATTAGGGCCAACCCTAACTTCTTCTTATCTTTATTAATGGATTGCAAGCAACTTCGGATGTACATACAGCCACCTAGTGGAGGCCATGAGGTTGGACAACTCATAACACTACATAACTCTACAATATACCTTTTAATTTTATTGTATATTTTCTATATTTATATATATATATACACACACACATTTGCAATCATTATGTAATGATGGTATCAGTTAGGCTGATTTTATCCTACCATGTTAAATATCCATGTGCCTGTTTTTAATAAAAACATGGCATGTATTGAGAGATCAGGTCTTGTAAAGATTAACCAAGAAAAATTAACCAAGTCTTATCGCTGTTACATTTTGGCATTTATTTTGAGTGAATTATTGGAAAAAATCCAAAGAAATAGAAGGCAGATTGGAAATATAGGTTTTAAAAAAAGGTAACAAAAAAAAAAACAGAAAAAAAAAAAAACCCGGTTTTAGATTTTAGTGAGTTGTTTTTAAATACCAAATTAAAATCTTATGACGGATACATTTGCTTTTGTATTTTTAGTAAATTCTTGTCATGTTCAAATTAGTAGATAAATTGTAAATAAAGGTTTTTAAAAAAAGGTAAAAAAAAAAAAAAAAAAAAAAAGGTTCTATTGGCGACAAGCTGCTGTGATCACCGATACAAATGGTTGATAACAACCTACTGAGCCTGATATCTGGCAGAGCAGGGACTAACTGAGGCCATTCAATGGGGCTGATAACCACTGATAATCGCCATTCTATGGGATGATAACATTGAAGCGGGTGGTCTCACCAGAAAATAATCCAAAAATCTCCTTCTTCTATGCAGATACAGAATATACATCACATAAAATAGCAATGTGCTTTATTTAGTTTTTATTTCAGTATTTGAAATTTACACATAACTTTATATTTCTGCTTCTTGGATTACATCATATTTAAATATTAATGTTACACTAGCCCTTATTATTTCCAGGTATGTTATCGGTTATTATCGGCATTTGGAGTAACTATCAGTTATCAGTATCTGATAAAAAGTCATTGTTCATCCCAAATAATAACCATTGTTAATTGTTTAATTTTAGTTATTTATTTAAAATATATTTTAACTAAGCAGAACAAACATGTTTTTGGGGATTGTTTATAATATGTCAGATTTGACTTGTCCAGATTTGAAGAGTCTAGTTTTTGTTCTTTTTAAACTATAGCAGATTAAACACATCTGTGTATTAAATTTTAAAGATTTATTCACAATTTATTTAGGTCTCCAAATGTGGTTTCCACCATTTGCTTTGGATCATTTGGGACAAATTTTACTTTTTGTATTTCTACAAAAAGTCAAACTTTCAAAAGTCTGACTCAAATACTACAATTAGTGTCTTAAGAATTTGAACAAGTGTGTAACTGTTTTGTTTTTTTGGGTAACTGAAAGAAAATCTACAATTACTAAACTCATAAAGGATCTGTCTTTTCTCAGAGGGCACAAATACCTTTCACCAAATGGACCTCCATATTTGACTCCCATGCAGGAGATTTTATTCATTCTGGACGTTCACACATCAGCAACTTGGTGTTGGAAGCTGTTTTTTCTTTCTAGTTCATGGAGGCTCCATCCTTTTTGGAGCATTCCCAGTTAGATGTAAATCAACGACCCGCTCATCCCCCACCTGGTTCATTTGGGTCTATTGTTTGGAGAAGTGATGGGAATGCTCAAGTAATTGCTTTTGAATGAGGTTCTGAAACTGTAAGCTTCCCCTCAGATCGGAGGGTTTTGTTTTTTTGTTGTTTTTTTTCTTTTTTGGCAAAGATGGAGCTTTTCAATCTTCTTTCAAATGATTCATTCTCTCTGTCCAGAGCTTGGAAATCATTGTTGTCATTGTCTCCGGCATTAATTTTGAGTCTATAGTTTTTAAACTACATATCTATGGTTAACATTGAATAAGTTTTAACATACTCAACATTAATGTGTCAGTCAATACTTAAAGTTGTTCTGTATTTATAAAAAATTAAAAAGAGCAGGTCTTTTATTTTTGCCTTTTGTCTAGCTTGTCTCTGGTTATTTGTAACCGGTTTCTAACTCCAATCATTAAAACATGAAGGTGTTTTGTACCTTTTCCATCCGAGACGATCCGGGGTGACCGCCTGAAATCCATCAGTCCGCGCTGATCGTCCGTCTCTTCCTCGGACTTAACGTTGATTTCTGTCTCATCGTCCGTCTCTTCCTCGGACTTAACGTTGATTTCTGTCTCATCGTCCATCTCTTCCTCGGACTTAACGTTGATTTCTGTCTCATCGTCCGTCTCTTCCTCGATCTTAACGTTGATTTCTGTCTCATCCTCCATCTCTTCCTCGGACTTAACGTGGATTTCTTTAAACTCTGTGAATGTTTCTTCAGCAGGAGTTTCCTGCTCGTTGATAAACTCTATCTGAAGCTGAACTGAAGACATGTTTACTGATAACACTCAAATATTTAGCTGAACCTCAAACCCTCCTCAGACAACCGTCTAACAAAACAGTGAAGGATAGCCCAGGTGCTCTGTTTTTATCTTCCCCGTGTTTCACTGTGGCTGTACTGAAGAAACTGTGAACGATTTATAAGTTCCGCTTTGAGTCACCTCTTTTAATATACAGTTACATTCAGTAAATTTCAATATTGTTAAAATATATTAATTTTAGTTACTTAATTCACCCGACACAGTACATATAATAACTCAGACTGATTATTTAAAACCTTTTATTTCTCTTAATTATGATTAATTTTTCACACACTACAACCAACTGTCTAACTTCATTCAGTCATTGAAACATTTGATCCTGTTTAATAATCTGAACAAAACATTTTCTAACTAAACATCATGAACTTAAATCACAGAGATGGAAAGGGAAACAAAAACCTCCAGACTGTTTATTTCCGCTGAGCTGCAGGAACACGTTTCTATGATTAAATCTATGATTTGATTTAATTATGTTTTTGCCATGATGACGATTAGTAAACGTGACCTGGAGAGATGGATGAGTACAGTAGAACTGATTTTATTCTTTAACTTTAAACAAAGCCTCTTTGATCAATTTTGAAGGGTTAGGGAAGAAACAATTGAAAAAACATTGATTTCAAACACCAGAACAATAAAGCATCCTGGTTATCATCATACTTATATGCAATATCTCTATATAAAAAGAGACAAAAAATATATACATTTTAAATCTGGTAAATTTAAATGATGTGCTTAAAACTCATTTTCACTCCCTGAACTGACTGAGCCACTGAAATAAACTTAATATTCCATGTTATTGAATGTGGCTGTTTAAACATACTCCAGCATATTAATGTTTGAAATCCACTGGAATGAATTCAGCACAGATTGTAGAAAAATAGCTGAGTCACTGATTTCTACAACAGCTGAAACAATGTAGGTGTAGTAGCAGGATGTTGTCAGTAGGTGGCAACACGAATGTGCTTCCGTATCAGGTCACATTTCTGATAAAATGTTTTTTTTTATTAAACATTAAAAGTTTATATAAACATTTTATTAAGACCTTTAGTAAATAAAGATTTTATGAAAACATTTAATAAAAAGCATTAAACTTCATAATTAATTGAAAAAAACTTGAAAACATTAGTGTTAGTTTGCGATCAAAAACCAGACTGGAACCAGCAGTTTTAGAGCTCTCAATATTTTTTCTTTTATCTTCAGCTCCACACACTTCAGTTCAGTTTAGTTTACTAGTGATGGGCTATCTGAAGCCAGGTTTCGAGGCTTGTGAGTAAAAAGGGGGCGTGTCCGATGAAGCCCTGCTTCGAGGCTTGTGTTGAAAACCACGTGACTGGCAACAAACGAGGCCTCGCATTGCATGGTAGTGATGGGCAAATGAAGCCTCATGAAGCAATGAACCTTTCCAGCCCTTTGCTTTGCAAAAAGGTTCGTTCCTCGATGCTTCACTCATTGCTCTATAGTGACATCTGCTGGTGAAACTGTAACAGTCTTATCACTCAGTTGGATCATACTTCCAAAAATTACTAAATGCAATATTGTCACAAAGTTTTCATCAAACTCATGTTTAGTAACAGAAGAATCAATGAAACCATATTTAACTGTCATATGTTTTAATTATTACAATGATTTGTAGCCAATAATCTAATCCTGGTTTATGTTGAACGTTAGTGGTTGTGTTGGGTTTTCTTTTATGTCAGACAGATTTGACAATAAAGACAATTGATGTTTTAATGTCTTGAGAGTGCAGTGTCTGTTGGGGCGTTCACTTTTTCTTGGATTTCTAATTGGCTCTGATCCCTCATATTTGGCTACATGTTGAATTTTAGTTCTGCAACAGCATAACATCTGTTTCTGCTGTGATATATCTTTGCTAATCAGACTACAAATAATAGTGGAACTTTGCAGAAGGTGAGAAATTGGGAGTTGGAGGGTTAATTATTATCTAAGAAGAATTTTATTGTGAGGATAATCTCAAAGTATTCTCAGATGTCAGATGTTGCTGGCTCCATTTCAGACAATCAAGTTTATTTGTGTAGCACGTTTCAGCAACAATGCCATGCAAAGACATTTACATCATAAAATCACAAAAATATAGTTATTAAAAAAACAACATAGTCTACAATTGAGAAAACCAGTAACAAACATTTTGATGAGTGCCATCATCAATACACATCGAATATGTTGGTCAATGTTCATTTTATTTGGCCACTGAAGACAAATATCCTCTGATGCACTACCAAATGGACAACAACCCATGACACAGCAAGCCTCATCGCGCTTTTATTTTGAAAACCGACACGCAAAATGAAGCAGTCACGTGACCCATGCAATGTGAGGCCTCGTGTGTTGCCAGTCACGTGGTTTTCAGCAAGACAACACAAGCCTCCAAGCGGGGCTTCATCGGCCACGCCCCCTTTTTACTAAGTACAAGCCTTGAAGCCTGGATTCAGGTAGCCCATCACTACTGGCAGCACATGACCAGGTGACCTCAAAGAGAGGAGAAGATGATTAAAACAAGTAAATAAATCAAATTACTTCCTCAAACACAATACATTTAACCAAAAAATTAGAATATATAAATACACAAAAAACAGCGCCTGTTAAGGAGGGGGCAAATCCCTCACAATTAGTTTGTGTGTAATTATTTTATAAACTGCGTTGCACTTGGGTGAACTGAGGTAGTGACATAAATGAATAATAATGGAAAACTAAATGAATCAGAAGGAGTTTACTCTAATGAGCTATCCCTCTTAGCTACCAATGTGAAATAAGTGATTTTCATTCAAACACCACTTTATTCAATATTGCAAGAACAACAAAACAATATTATCAGAGTTTTTGATTTGTTTGTTTGTTTGTTTGTTTGTTTGTTTGTTTGTTTGTTTTGTTTTTTTTCAGACTGATCTGTTGCCAGGGTTACCAAACTCCAGTCCTCAAGGGCCGGTGTCCTGCAACTTTTAGATGAGCCTCTGCTGCACCACACCTGAATAGAATAATCAGGTCATTAAGGCTCTAGAGAACCGATCTACACAAGGAGGAGGTAATTAAACCATTTCATTCCAGCGTTTTGAACCTCTGGCACATCTAACAACTGGAGGACAGCGGCCCTTGAGGACTGGAGTTTGACACCTGTGGTTCTCACTAAACTCTCCCTCCCTGCTTGTACTTGGTCTTGAGTTATCAAGCAGCATTATGTTTTACCACCATACAAAAAGAGTCACAACCCCAGGTTACACATATAAATTAAACTATTTTCTAAATTTCCACTAACAATAAACCCTTCAATAAAAGAGGAGACTCGCAGCAGAAAATTCAAAGCGGAACTAAAAATTATTTCCTGTTTCATCAGTACAGCCACTGAAGTGAAACACAAAAGATAAAAACAGAGCAAAATAGCTTTTCTTTTGTTAGATGGTTGTGTGAAAACGGGTTTGAAGTTTAGCTAAATATGTGAGTGTTTTTAATAAAAAATATCTTCAGTTCAGCCTCAGAGAGAGTTTATCAACGAGCAGGAAACTCCTGCTGAAGAAACATTCACAGAGTTGAAAGAAATCAACGTCAAGATCGAAGAAGAGATGGAGGATCAGCGCAGACCGCTGGATTTCACCCGGATACCGAAGATCGTCTTACACCGAATAGGTACGAAACACCTTCAGGTTTTACTGATGAGCCCATAGACATAATAAAAGAATAGACGCCTCCTGGATATGAGGTTCCATTTGTGTCAAAAATAAGTAGAAGTCATATGTGTAGATGTCTATGGTCTATGTTGCATATGTCAATCAAATTTTATTTGTATAGCACATTTCAGGAGCAAGGCATTTCAAAGAGCTTTAGGTCATTAAAAACAAAAACGCAGTAATAAACAATCAAATAAAAATAATAAAATAAAATAAATGAATAAAAATGATTAAAACCTGCACAACTTTTCTAGCCCTTTAGAACTTTAGTTGAAACGCCGTCAACCGGGACTCTAAACCTAATTTAGCTGTAAGCAACTCTGAACAGGTGGGTTTTAAGTTGAGATTTAAAGGCACCCAGTGTTTCAGCTGTTTTACAGTTTTCTGGAAGTTTGTTCCAAATTTGTGGTGCATAGAAACTGAATGCTGCTTCTCCTCCTTTAGTTCTGGTTCTGGGGATGCAGAGCAGACCAGAACCAGAAGTTCTGAGGGGTCTAGACCAGGAGTGGGCAATCCTGGTCCTCGAGGGCTGGTGTTCTTCAACTCTTAGATGTGTCCCTGGTCCAACACACTTGAATCCAATAGCTTAATCAACTCCAAAGTGCAGTCAACGTCTCCAGGGTCCTACTAACGACCTCATTTTTCACTCAGGTGTGTTGAAGTAGAGACGCATCTAAAAGTTGCAGGAGACCGGCCCTCGAGGCCTGGACTTGCCCACCCTTGGTTATACGGTTGGTACAGAAACAACAACAGATCTTTAATGTATTGTGGTGCTAACCCGTTTAGTGAATTATAAATTAACAATATTTTAAAGTCTATTCTGTGAGCTACAGGGAGCCATTGTAGGTACTTTAAAACTGGTGTTATGTGCTTCATCTTCTTGGTTTTAGTCAGAACAGCAGCATCTGGATCAGTTATAGCTGTTTGAATTTGTTAGTCAGACCTGTGAAGACGCTGCTGCAGTAATCAATGCAACTAAAGATAAATACATGAATGATTTTCTCTAGATCGCGCTGAGACATTAGTCCTTTAATCCTGGAGATGTTCTTCAGGTGATGGAAGGCCGACTTTGTGACTGTCTTTATGTGGCTCTGAAGGTTCAGGTCAGAGTCCATCACTACTTCCAGGTTTATGTTGCATATGCGTTCACTGTATATGTCGTTCATTTCGTTGGCCGTGTTGCTATTGCCTGTTCTCTTCACCATTATAAAGTCTTGAAGTAGGTCGTGTCTGATCAAAGTGAAATCAAATTTGTGAATGAAGCAAAAATACTTGGCACGCCATAAGTAAATGTTATTTAGTTTGGTTAAGAATAATTATTGCGCCAACATCAAATAACTTCCAATAGATGTTATTGGTTGCCATAGGAACACAGTAACACCTTCATGAGCTCAGAG